CCAGATGGAAACCATGTGAAAGAATTATTTCCTGATAATGAGGATTTCAATAAGTCAAGAGGTGACAGATGCATCTTGGTTCTCAGCATCCTTTTGAGACAGGATGTTTCTACAGGTAGATGTTTGGATGAGATGATGAGTGATGTCAGAGATCTATGGAATAAATCCGGTTCTACTGTTGGTTCTAACATTTGTGTCTGTGTCGTTCTCACAAATCTTTATCAAGTTCATTCACTCTCTGTTGAAAAGACACAAATTCAAAGGATGACAAACAAAGTCATTGAGGTTCATTGTTTTTATTATCCTTCATTAACCAAACTCTGAAGTGGGGCCGAGGTCAGGGGTCACAGGGTTCCTCTGGTTCCCCACCAGGTGGCGGCTCAGCTCCTGAGTGTTTAGTTCGCGGCGAGGATCTGGTCGACCCAACCGCGGAACTCGGTGACGCGAGCGTAGACGGCGGGAGTGGAGGTGGAGCAACGGCTGCTTCCCCAGGACACAATACCGACCAGAGTCCAGGCGTTATCCTTCTGACACACCAGAGGACCACCAGAGTCGCCCTGCAACGCAACAAACAGGTCAACAACCAACACAAACAACTTCTGACACACAACAGGACCAAGAGAGGACTAACTAATCATGACACAGGATTGGTCAGGTATGTGGGCGGGGCCTCACCATGCAGGAAGTGGCTCCGGCTCCTCCAGCACAGATCATGACGTCGGAGATGTTGCTGCCCCAGTGTTTCTTGCACTGCTCGTTGGACAACAGGGGAAGTGATGCCTGCTGGAGCAGGTTGGGAGTGCCGGGAGCTGTGGACACAGGAAACACTTAGACATCCTCTGCACCTTTCAAAGTAAAAGTCTCTAAAGCTATATAAATATTTGAGGGCAGAAACAGTTCAGTCAGTGCAGCTGACGTCTGTCTCACCATTGTAGCGGGTCAGACCCCAGCCGGAGGTGACGCAGGTCATGCCGGCGGCGAAGACGTCAGCGGACTCAGCCAGGCAGACGGGGGACACGTTGGTTTCCAGGCGGGCTGGAGTGGCCAGCTTGATGAGGGTGATGTCATTGTTGATGGTCTGGGGGTTCCAGCGGGGGTGAGTGAACACCTAGGATGGGAAGTGAGGGGGGGTGGGCGTTAGAGGAGGGAAGATGGTGTGTTCTGAAAGCTGATTGGCCGACGGTTGGTTCTCACCTTGACTGGCTTCAGTATCTGGACGTCCTCGTTGGAGCCGTAACCCTTGTTATGTTCTCCAACGACCACACGGTGGTAGGTCCTGACAGGAAACAGGAAACAAGACTTTAAGGGTCAGTTCACACAAAACTGCTTCATTTATAATTAAACAACACATTTAATGACCATCAGGTGTTTCATGAAACATAGAAGGTTTCTTAAAATGGTTGTGTGTTGTTGTGTTGTTGTGTTGTTGTGTTGCTGCTCTGACCTGACGTTACAGTGAGCGGCGGTCACCACCCAGTTCTCGTTGATCAGAGATCCTCCACAGAAGTGGAAGCCACTGGATTGCTGTGAGAGAAAAAAACATACTCAGTTTAATCAGAGACGAAGAGGAGGAGGAGGAGGAGGAAGAAGAGATAGTTGAGGTCAGCTGACTCACCTGCAGTGACACCTGCCAGGGCCAGGAGTGAGGCACCGCCTCCTCACCGTTAACGATGCGGGCGTAGCCAGACACCTGGGGGGGGATGGCGGGGGTTCCGCAGCCTGAGAGAATGACAGGTGAGACAGACGTTAAAGGACTACTCTGCTGTTCTGCCACTGGAGAAAACCTGCCCCCTGCTGGTAAAACCTGATCAAACGTGAGCTAATGAACCAGCAGGTGGCAGCAGAGACACAGTGATACTGAACTAAATAATACAAACTGATCAATTAATCATTTTACTGTGATTGATCCAGAGACTTCATCAACCATTAATAAAGTTAAAATAAAGTTTGAATGATCAATAAAGTTTTAGTTGAAACAATTTAAAATCAAAAGGACTCTGACCATAGGCGGCGCTGACGAAGGCGAGGCACGAGACGATCCAGAGAAAGGCCATGGTGATGAAGGTGATGTGATGTCGTGCTCGTTCAGGTTTTATCCCTGGACCCTGCTGGACCTCAGCCAATCAGAGCGTGCGGTGGTCCGCAGCTGCTTATCAGAGGGGAGGCGTCATGTCGTTCTCATGGGTCACACGCCCTCATCTGCTGCTCTGTGATTGGCTGAAACGTCTGAAAACATGTTGATGATTGGAGTTAATTCATCACATTATTATTATTATTATTATGACTGATGTTTCAGACTGGTTGAATATTTCTGTGACAGATTAAAACAGAAATAAACGATTCAATGACAGAAACATGAGTTAATTAAATGTTGATTCGGTTCATTGATCTCTGGTTATTTTCATCCTGCACAGAAACACTTGTCCTCAGTTTCATCTCAGCACTTTTACCACAATTAATTTTCTAACTGAATTAAACTTATTTTCAGTTTAAACTCTGTCGTCCTTCAGACTTTAGTTGTGACATTCTGCTACTTCCTGTTTTCTTTTAGCCCAATCAGAATAGAATCATATAAATGATTAAACTCGTTCTGTTTGATTGTTTCATTGATCATCTGCGATAAAACAGGAACATGATTCTGATCCATGTGTGAAAACGAGGCTCAGAGAGAAAGCCCCCCCCCCCATAGATATTTTCAACTCTTCATCAGGACGTCGTTATTCAGTGTTTCTACAAAATACTGACCATTTACAACAGAAACATATGTAGCTCCGGCCACTAGGGGTCTCTCATTTAAACTGATAACAAAGCACCTAACATAAGATTCTGGTGCGAATAATGTCCGTGGATTCGGTAACATATTTAAAATGTCGTCACATTACGAAGAAATGAGAAATGAAGAATCGTGATTCGTTACGAGTGTGAGGAAAGTTTAGCCGAGACAAAGTCACGAGAAAAAACTAAATGATGCAATTAAAAGAACGAATCAAATTATTATTGAATAGAATTGTTTGAACACTGTTGAAAATATTTTGGATAATGTCAGTACACAAAATATAAAACATAAGTCTAGTTAATGAAGAGATGTTAGATATTATATCTTTAAATTTGAACTATCTCGTACTATGGTAGAAACACACACACACACACACACACACACACACACACACACACACACACACACACACACACACACACACACACACACACACACGCTTAAAAAAAATACTGGGGAAAATGTGGATGATCAGCAGCTGAGGAGCCGCCACGTTCCCTAAGAGGTTAATGATTGGTCAGTTAATGTCAGCTGAGAGTAATGACTGGTGAGTGTGTGTGTGTGTGTGTGTGTGTGTGTGTGTGTGTTTATTCCATCTGAACCTTTATTAAAACACTCTGAAGCTGACAGAGCGTTTAACACACACACGAATAAACACAAAATAAACCGTGAACGAAAGTCATACCAGTCGTCTCCATGACAACAGCACCACTTTACAGTCATTTATCAGGAACATGATTAAAAAAACATAATGATGAGGTGTCATTCATGTATTTATTTATATGGAAATAAATTAAATCCACAAGTGAAAACTTTATTTAAAAAAACAGCTGATTCATTTTATATCACAAAAAGAGACAAAATAGTTCATAGAAATTTTTTATTCAAAATTTCAAGCAGGTTTTTAAAAAGGAAGCAGATCTTTTAAAAACACACACATACACACACACACACACCAATCATTAACCTCTGAGTGAACGTGGCGGCTCCTCAGCTGCTGATCATTCACATTTTCCCTGAGTTTTTTTGAGCCAGTCAACGAAACTTTCAGAAACTTTGAACCAATGAGACGAGTCACGAGTCTGAATTAAAAAAAAGTCACTGAGCTTCACTTTGTCAAGTCACATATTTCTTATTTTGAAATGAAGGGGAGGACATTCAGTGGCATAATGCATCAGCCCCTTACCTTAACTATCAAAACTAAATGCTCTAACCTGAACCTGATTAGAAACCTAAATCCAAGTCTTAACCCTCAAACAGCCAATTGAAAAAGTGAGGACAAGCCAAAATGTCCTCACTTTCCTAAAATGTCCTCACTGTGTAAGGTCAATGCTCCAAATGGCCCTCAGAAGTACGAGTACACACACACACTTGAGGACAGCCTAACCCAAAGATTATTCATGACTCATTCACAACCATTAATCACGTCTGACCTCTGACCTTCACCAGCGCCTCTGAAATTAGGTCAGCTACGACTGACAAGGTCGTGTGTGATTACTGGAAACACACACACACACTCATAAAATTATATATGTGACATCATAAATCATCAGACAGGAAATTAACTCTTTCCTCAGTAAACACGCTCTGTTTTTATCCACGGTTACTTCCTGTAGTAACTTAAGTGACGGCAGTAACTTGGTAACTGAAGTAACTGAAATAACGACAGTAACTGTAGAAACTAAAGTAACTAAAGTAACTAAAGTAACTGAAATCAGTGCCTCTGTCACGTGACTCCTGTAATAAAGAGAATAAACATTAATTACAGTGTGTAATAAAAACACTTTGTTTTCAAGAGGCTTCACTCACCTCCCAACAGGAGGATCACAAGCCTTCAAAATAAAATGCTGTTTGTCAACCTGATCACAGAAAAGAAGAAATTTGTACTAAATATTATTATCGAATGGTTCATTTAATTTTTATTATTATTATTATACATGAAACAAAACCTCAACGTGTTTATGTCTTTCTCATTTAACTCACCTGCAACTATCAGTTCAAAGTTTTCTCTTTGTTTCCTGTTTGACTCAAACTTTCTTATTTTATTTTGAACTTTGACTAAAGCTCACATGGATCAAGTGGTTTTACTTTGACATCCTGACAGGAAGCTGTGTCCACTGTCCTGCGGTCACTTGTTTCCCGGAGTCTGCGCTGCTGAAGGTTCTTGATCCGGATCATGGACCTGGTCTTTCACTCACTCCTTCACGGGCTTCTTCTCTGAGCCTCCAGCTCCCCCGCGGAGCTCCAGTATGCTGTTGCCGGGAAACGCGTCCTCCGGCTGGCCTGAGGTCCCGGGGTTGAACCTGTCGGAGGCGCAGGGCGACGGTTCGAGTCCGGAGGCGGTGGTGGTGCCGCTGGTGTTCGGGCTGATCTTCGTGGTGGGCCTGGTGGGGAACAGTCTGGTGATGCTGGTGATCTGGAGGGTGAGGGGCAGCGGCGCAGGGGGAGGAGGAGCGAGGCGCACCGCCAGCACCACGAACATCTTCATCCTGAACCTGAGCGTCGCGGACCTCCTCTTCCTCCTCTTCTGCGTCCCGCTGCAGGCCACCGTCTACTCTCTGCCGCAGTGGATGTTCGGCTCGTTCCTCTGCAGCTTCGGTCACTTCTTCTTCACCGTCTCCATGTTGGTCAGCATCTTCACGCTGGTCGCCATGTCCGCGGACCGCTACATCGCCGTGGTGCGCTCCAACCAGGCTCAGTGCGTCCGGAGCCGCAGGAACGCTCTGATCGGGGTGTGCGTCATCTGGACGCTGTCGGTGGCGTGCGCGGTGCCGGTGGCTCAGCACCAGACCCTCACCACTCACCCCTCCGCCCCCAACAGCACCTTCTGCTGGGAGCAGTGGAGCGGAGCCTCCAGACACGCGTACAAGGTTTCCATCCTGCTGCTCGGTTACCTGCTGCCGCTGCTGCTCATCAGCTGCTGCTACACCAGGGTCCGTTCAACATATACAATGTTAATCTTCAGTGTTGGACTGAGCTGCTGTCAAACACGCACATGTAACAGCGCACAGAGCAAAGGGCGCGCACAAAGTCCCGAGGATCATAAAGTCTGTGCGTAAAAGCGCACGGAGAATAAGACCGCAGAGAGGTTTCAAAATAAAACTGAAACTTTATTCTTCAACTCAGCAGCGATTCATTGATTAATATCGATATGATGGATATCATGAAGTTTAAAAACAAAGTACAAAGTGAATCAACAGCTGGAGAGAGAGAGTTTATCCACATGTTCATATGTTCTGTCTCGTGATGAATGAAAATCATATTCTGATCTGTTTTCATTCATTTCTCAGTTTCCATGAACACTCAGCCATTCATTTCCGTCTCTATGGCAACAGTCTGATTCAACAACTGTTTGTATTGTTGCAGGTTTTGTTTCATCTTCACAACAAAATGAAGAATATGTCACAGAAGTCTGAACGAGTCAAGAGGAAGGTACAGTCCAGCTGCTCTTCCTCCTCCTCCTCCTCCTCCTCCTCCTGCTGCTGAACTGTGGGTCAGAAATGTCTCCTTTTCTTTAAAGGAGGGTTCCGTGTTTCCTCTGCTGAAGGAGATGAGTTAGGAAGCTTTGAAGCTCCTTTTCTTTTCTTTCAAACAAATCTTATCGGCGGCAGCTGAAACACTTCATTTCACTCAGTCTGATCCTGTCTAAGAATAATACACGAGTCAACTGCGCCCCAGGTCTCCAGCAGAGTCTCACTGCTTCTGTTGAGGTCAGAATAAATATTTAGACAAGGGACTAAGAATAGAAGAGATTCTCTCAGAGTGACGACCAAAACACTTAGAGGACATGAGGAGACATGATGAGACATGAGAAGATGGAGGAGGCTGAACAGTTCAGTCTCCCGAAGACAGAAATGTCCTCCACCACACTGAGATGTTTTGTATTTGTGGACTGTTTGCGTGACACAGTCCTCGTCTCTCTAGAGTGGACGTGTCCACCTCTTTGTCCTTTTGTTGTTTGATTGACTTGCAGAGACAGACATCTGCGGCAGTTTGTTATAAACGAGTCTGAACCTTCAGAAAACCAGACAATAACCACGAAACATGATGGTGGTAGAACACAGTCAGGAGAACCTGGAGAACCTGGAGAACAGGTGCAGAAGTCTAACATCACCTCAGTGAGAGACAGAACGTGTTGAGTTTACCACAAGTTTCAGTCTTTTAATCAGAACACGTCCCAGAGAAGGTTCCAGAGAAGGTTATAGGACAGGTCCCAGGTTTTAGAGAAGGTTCTAGAGAAGGTTCCAGAGAAGGTTCCAGAGAAGGTTATAGGACAGGTCCCAGGTTTTAGAGATGGTTCTAGAGAAGGGTCTAGTGTTTAATATGTTTCCTCTCGGTTCCCCTGCAGACGGCTCAGATTGTCCTCCTGGTTGTCGCCGCCTTCACCATTTGCTGGATGCCTCATCACATCATCGCCATGTGGGTGGAGTTTGGCACTTTCCCTCTGAACGATGCCACCTTCGCCTTCCGTATCCTGTCCCACTGTCTGTCCTACGGTAACTCCTGCGTTAACCCCGTCCTCTACGCCTTCCTGTCCGAGAACTTCCGCAAGTCCTGCCGCAAAGTCTTCCCCTGCCACTTCCTGTTTCCACCGGCACCTCAGGGTAAAGTGGTTCGACTCCGCATGGAGAACTTCTCCTCCTCACACTCCACCACCAACGTGGGAATGACTGTGATCAGATAAACAACGGAGCAAACAGCAGGGGGAGCTGTTTGCTCTGTGTTCCCAGGACTGCACGTGATTGGCTGGGGACTGTGCCTGAGGTCATGTGGGTGTTGAAGAAAATGGAGGCTCGTTAACGTCAGAGTTCAAAGTTAAAAAAGAAAAATTCACCGGTTCAACTCATCACGTGTTAGATTTATTTATTTTTGTAGTGAATCAAACAGATGGAAAATTATTAACGAACCAGAATCTGCAGTTTTATTATCGTTGATATTTTCTCACACAGGAAGTGGAAATAATTCAATTAGAATATTTTCAGCCAATAAATAAAAAGACTTTAACTCTTCAGTTTAAA